TTTTTTTTTTTTTTTTTTTTTTATGCATCAATAATGATTGTTCAACTGATAAGGTGGAAATAACTGCTTCTTGGTTTAAGTTTCTTTTGCTGTCAAAAATTGGTCTATCAGATAGCTGCAAGTTATTTATTTTTTATGAAATACTTATTGTATTTAAGTTTTGATATGCATAAAAAAACCGAATTTTTGTCACCTTCTTAAGCTAGAATTTTAAGTAAAAAAGTGAAATGTAATAGACGGCCTATAAAAGTTTTGTGGAGTCATTAATAGAAAATAAATATTGAATTTGCAGATATTTACTGCCACTGCAGCTTGATTGACAGAGTTTGATTGTTTTTGCAAGAAAGGCGAAGGAGCAAATGTGAAAATGGCTCTGATGGATGCGAATTTAAGTAAGTAGTTACTATTAACTTCAGCATAAAAGCTTGAGAAGATGAGGTATTCAACTTGCCAAAGCTTATGTAGGATTAAAGACAGACTGTTACTGCAAAAGCAGGCATTTAGAGCTACGCTTAAAGCTAGTTTACTGTTCAGTTTTTCTGATGAATAAACGAATTACCAATATATAAGACAGTGTTTAGGTTAGTAGTTAATAAAACTTACTAAAACATCTTATTTTTTAAAATCCAGTTACTTTTTTGATTTCTACAACTTTTTGAAGTATAAAACGTTTCTGTCAGCACATTCTTCCCCATCGTTCTCGACGGCATTTTCTTCTCAGCCATTTTTCACTTTCAGAAATTTTGTTGTTACTTATTCTAAAAAAAGAATTTTCTCTTCGTTTTTCAGGTAACAGACAATGCAAAAGTGAGGTCCCTGACCCAGTTTTCAATTCACCAGAAACCTCCAGTTTCAACAGCGAAACTAAAAGTAATCAGGTTATCTGCTATACAAATTTCTGGAGTACTATTCTTCCGTTCCTTTTTGAAAATTGCTGCTTTTTCAAGAACTGGCATCATTTTTTAATGATTTTAAAGAGACATTTTAGGTTATAGCTGTGGAAAGCCAGATCCGCGGTCAAGAAAACGACATTTCATTTATCAGTATGTGGAACTTCAGGATAATAACACCGGCATCTGTTGCAAATGCGGACAAGTTATTAATGGAGCTAGCGCTGGGAATATACAGTCTCATTTAAAACATAAACATAAAGAATTTTTTGAGACAGTTGTTGAAGAGGCGAAAAGAAGTCGAAGATTTGAAGAGGTTTTAAATTATGGAGTAAGTGCAAATTATATTAATGAGGTTTTGTACTTTCCAGGAGCAATACTGGATTTCTTTAATATAATGCTCAAAAAATAGCTAGTATTTTTAGCGTTCCGAACCATTAACTCGCAAATTCGCTATAAACTTTGCTGTCGTGACCCGCGCACTGACTTTGGGATTTGCAACCTCAACTACATCTCTAACTCTGGTGGAGAACGAGTTTTTCAAGGTGGGCAGATAAATTTTTCTTTGTGCTTGCTTTTGGCATTTCTAAAATTACCGCTTGTGTCATCAAGGGTTGCATTTTAGAAAGCGCTGGAAGGATTAGGGTATAAGCTGCCGCATCGTCAAATTTTACGACAAAATATATTAGCAGAGGCAGCGTTTATGCAGGAAGTTATACGAGATCGTCTTAAAAAAGCCACTACTATTGTTGTATCATTTAACAACATGAAGAAAATACAAAGTTCATCCAGCTATTTGAACATCATGTTCCAGTACTGTGATCAGAAGGACGGAATATACGAGACAATGCTTTTTGACGTAATATCTTTGCATACGGAAATCACTGCTGCATCCGTCAAACAACTGGTAGCAGAATCTTTGAGAAAATTTGGTATTGCATACCCAAACATTTTTTGGTTCGAAGGTGACAATGGATCATACATAAATTCTGCTATTGTTGATGCCAAGGATGATTTTCTGGCTCCAAAAACGACAGGTACTTGTGCTGACGTATTTGCTGAGGCAGGGATTAATTTCGAGGAGTATGAAGAAGAAGATTTTTTTGACAACGATATTGCCGACTACAACTCGGAAGCTGAAGATACGGAATTTCATCAGCATTTTATACGGTATCATCCTTGTGCGGTTCACACGCTAATGCGTGTCTTAAAGTCATCGACCACTGCAGTTGGCATTGTACAGAAGTTGTTGCAAAGTGCAGTGACGATCATTGAAGAAATTGACTCGTCGTTCGAGTTGACCCAAGCCTTCCTTCAAGAAACCAATGCTACTAGGCGCCTAACTGTACCACCTGATAGCGGATGGCTTAGCATCTACTACACTTTCAAGTATTTTATTTCTTTTCGTTTTTATCGCTTATTAAGTAGGAAGCGTATGGAAGTTTTAAGTATAATCAGGTTTCCTAGTAGTTTAAAAAAACTTGTAATTTTTTTCAGTTTTTGATTGTCAATGTATAAGACGTTTTCCAGACGTTTCTATGACTGTAAGGAAGCTTTGAAGTCTGTTTGCGAGAAATTTCACCTGACGACTTTGTCGGATAGCGACTTTGAATTAATAAATGAAGTTGCTAAAATATTGGAACCATTTGTTGAAGTTATCAATCAGTGGAAACAAGACGACCTGCCGACAGTTTCATTTATTATTCCTTGTGTCCTGCTGCTTGAAGATCATCTCAAAGTAAGTTGCCATTCTAAACTTTTAAAAAAGCAGGTTTTGTTGAACGTTAATAATGGATGATATTTTTCGGTTTACTGCGGGAACAGAAATGCTGCCGTCGCATTAATGGCTGAAGAATTATTTGAAGCTCTTCATTTGCGTTTTAAGTATGCCTTTACTACTGGACAGAGTCAAAATGATTCTCTTTATCTGCTTTCAACGTTTTTGGATCGTAGGACATGCGCTCTGTTGCCGTTCGATAGACAAAAGGTCGCCGCTGATATGTTGAAAGCAATGGTATGCCGCTACTTTTTTCTTTAAAGTTACTTCCACTGTTTCTGCCAACACCAGCGTATTTAAAAGACCTTACTAAAGGTATTTAGATGGATAAACTACTGGAATCGCGATTAGAATTCAAATGAGATCATTAGTTAACGTGATGTTTGGGTGAGATTAAAATGAAATACGTGTTTTGTCAAAACATATCTATTTTTAGGGTAAAGTGTAAAAAATTTTTGCTTATTAGTTGTTAATAAACTTAGATATAATAGCTATGAGCTACAAACGCGGTGGCTCCATTTCGTTTGTCTCTCGAATATTGGCAGCCTTTTGTGGCGCACTTGGTTTGCTAGTTCAGCGCCGGTTAAACGGCAAAGCGATGCGCCGTTGTGAGCCATATGATTTGTTGAGAAGAGCTGAGAGTTTTGTGACCATTGACTAGCGAAAATATTTCAACGATTTTCAATGAACCATTTATTTCAATTGAATTTGAGGTGCAGTTTCATGAATGAATATTTCATTTTAATTTCACTTCCAATTCAAATGAAATAAACACTTCATTTGAATTCCACCTAGAAATCAAATGAAATATTTATTTTGTCTCAATTCTCATCTATCTACCCAGTGAAATAAACATCTCAAATGAATTTAAAAATAAAAAAATTATTTTCTTGTATCTGCTAGTCATCAGAATTAAAAAAGTCCCGCAGCTTTTCTAGAGCCTTGCAACTTACGCACGAACTTTAATAGAAAGGCGCTTTAATAAATGGCAGCAAAATTTATATTTATTTTAGATTAGGCAATACGACAGCTCGAAACCACCAGTTACACCCCCGGATGCTCAACCAAGTTTCACGGACAAGTTGTATTCCAGGTTCATGTCGTCAAGGATAATAGAATCAGCGAAGCTTGACTCAGAAACCGATGAGGTTTCGCAGTACTTGAGTAATTATGGTTTGAAGCCAGTTGTTGGTTACTTTAACCCACTGAAATTCTGGATCGATAATTCTAAAGTAATCATTTTTAAGTTGCATTTAAGCACTATTTTTCGTACTGCTTTTATTCTGGTAGAAGATGTTACTTTGCTGGAATGTCGTAGTTGAAGTCTCGTTTAATATCACTCTTAATTTTACAGCTTTTCCCTGAACTATCAAACTTGGCGTTTAGCTATCTCTCTGTACCAGCTAGTTCCGTGAATGCCAAGAGGTCGGCCCAGCTGTTAAAGCTGTATGATTCGGGAAATCGAGGAAAAGATGATGAGGAGATAATGAGAGCTAAAGCTCTCCTGACGTTTAATCAAAAATTCCTTATTCAACAGAAGTGACTCTTTTTTTGTATTCTTTTAACAGTTTATCTAAGTGATCTTATTAACCTTTCCTACAGATCTCTAGAATTTAATTTCCTTCTTTAATTATTATTTTGTAACTTACCGGTGAAGGTAGTTTGAACGAACACTTTTGTCATTGCTATTCACTTTTTTTTTTGAATTCTGAGTAGAGGGAAATCTTTCGATGGGATCGCTTTGACTTATTAATTTTGGACCGTATCTTGGTAGTCGGAGGAATAGTTTTCATTAAAAAACCAAAGTTGAAGTGCGGGACACAGTTTTTAAAAACTTTCCTCTTGGCTCTTTTGATTTAATTTTCGGCTGTGTGCTAAAAAGTTTTGTGAAAAAGAAAATACGGGTTTAGCAGCCATTCGTGGTTGCACTTCTTCCTATGTATTTATAGGCTTCATTTAAAGCTAGTTCTAACTTATTTAACTAATAATACGTGACTACACTTTGTACTTTTTCATATACGGATTTTGCCAAGTTGTTGTACTGTAAACAATGTATTTTTGTTAGTTTAGGTCCAATTCTTTTAGCCTTTTCTCTTACAAATTTTAAGTTTGATATTCTTTCTGTTTTGCCAATGCTACATGCTTTTTTTGACGCTGATGTTCGTGGTAATCTTGAAATGTGATGGATGATTGTTGGTGAGAGGAATTTATAAGGTACAGCAACTAAGGTTAAATCTTACTCTTGATGCTGTCGATCTCTCATCTTCGTTTTAAAGCTGTAGTCTTCGTCATTGCTGTCCTGTAACTTTATTTTCCGTCTTAAAGTAAAATTTTGGCTTGTTTAACAAATTTTTTTCATATCTGTCATTTATGCTTATGGTATGCGTGCTTGTGTGTGTGTATGTGTGTGTATGTCTCTGTGTTGTTATATGACTGTTTTAGTAAACTGTTAAGGACTTAGTTCTGTGTGTCGGCTAGCAAAAGTAAGTAGCTAAAATTTAAAGAGTAGATTAACAAATAAATGAAAAAATCATCAGTTTTTTCCAGCAAAGGTAGTCCAACAAATTTGTCGTATACATTTGTGGAGTAAGTGTTAGTTAGAAAAGTCAAGCAGTGCGTTTTGGCAGCGCTGTTTAATATGAACGAGGTGGAAACATGGCCAGAAACCGAACTGGTTAAGATCTTTGATATCTATTTTAAAATATGAATTTTCGCCTCAGAATAGTGAAGTTGAGAAAGGCATTGGAACTCGTAAGAAAAATTACTTTTTTGCTTTTTCAATATTTTCTTAAAATCTTGGAAGTTTTATGTAGCGTTATTCCTATACCAAACATCAAGGCGGAATGAACTATTTTTTATTTCCTGGCTGGAATAATAGCCACAGATCCAACTAGATCTGAGCCGAAAAATGCAAACGGAAGATTTAATTTTCTAATTGCTTGATTAAGTAAGTATAGAAAACAGTGTCGTTGAAGTACTGACAAAATTATTAGCAATGGCAAAGAACCACTTTGGAGCAAACAAGTGCCGCAAAAAGCAGAGAAATTTTAAAATATTATTTATTCAAAAAGAGGAGAAAAAAAGATGAAAAACTGCTAACAGTTTGGGTTTCATAAAAGACCTCATCTTATTTTTTTTTTCTTGAGCAAAAAAAGAAGAAGGATTGGTGATTAATGATCATCTGTCGTGACAGTAAACTATTAATTCCACTGAGGCATTCATGCTCAGCTGCACAATATTTAATTATGGTTTCCTATTTTTATTCCAGAATATTATTTATAATCTCCACTTATGAATAATAATAGTTCTGTGCTCAGCTGACGAATGTTATAAAGGCAGAAAAAAGGAAACTGCTGAAATTGATAATTGACTGAGTAGCTTCCAAATCTACCTATTCACCAGTGCATACGCTCGATTCTCCCTTCATACTAGCAAAAATAAAAAAACAAAGGCAAAAATATGCTTAAAGATTAGCTATGTGACAAGTGTTTAACAAAATAACTCACTATTTCGCTTTACCACGGAAGTTGTCGTATACAGTAGCAAACACAACCAGGTAAGCAGCAAATGAAAACAGGACATAACCTCCTATGCCAGGCCATTTGTGGTACCATATTCTTCCATTATTAGACCTTATGCATACTGTATCAGTTATCTGGACGTCCATTGGCTCTAAGGCAGTCATTTTTTGCCAGTTTCTTAGAATCTGGATCAAAATAGTTTGAATATGACGATTATACAAAAGCTGTCACTTGCTTCACAAAAAAAAAAACTATAACAGCGGAAGAAGTATCTTTAGTGCGCATTTTAACTTGTAGGTGCTGTTACAGTTTAGCGCAACTACTCCTAAAATTAACTTCTTTCTCAATGACCTCCGCTTGTTTCATTGGTCCTTATGCTCCGCTCTGAGTCCCTTTACTTTCTGGAGACCTTGAGTTGAGCTGTAATTTTAAGCCTTTTACAGTTTCGCAGTATCATTGTTTGAAGAAGCACTTTGTAATGCAAAAATGTTGACAATGAATAACAAAGACAATTTTGTTACTCACGTTGTTGAATTTAATTCCGTTCTGATTATTCGGTCAAAATTCTGACAACTTTAAAAAAGACCACTTACAGTTAAGGTTTAAATAAAACTTTAAATATGATACTGCCCTTTCACTGAAAAAAATACATATGTTGGTCGTCATTGTAATAGACTAATCTTAAAAGAAGTGAGGTGAGAAAACGAACAGGTTATTATTGTCGGCTATGCGAAGTTGTAAAAGGTTAAAGCAACAATTCAGCATTAGATGCGAAGGAAATGAGGTAGTACAGATAAACGTGAAATTGCTGCAGATGAAACGGAGCGGTTAAGAACCTTTTAAATGAGAGAAAACGAAGATTTTCGATAAAAAAGTTAAGTTTGGGATGGAAGCGCTAAACTTCGTTAAAAGCACCATCGCTTTGAAATAGTTTTGCTCAAAAACCCTTCACTTCTCATTTGCATCAAAAAAATCAAAAAAAAAAGTACTAAAACAATTTTTGCTTTGTGTACAATGGAAATGTAATTATTTAATAATAAAAAAAACAGTACAAAAAGTGATATTGTTTTTCTTTTTAAAGTTTCTGTTGTGGAACTGCTAGGTAAAATGACGGTGCTAACAGTGAAATTATCGGAGATGCATGGAGTTGGCAAACATGCGCTGTAAATCGCAGCTTTTGATTGCCACATCGTTTCAGACCCGTAACAGTAGTATACAGGATACTTCGAAACTGTGTAAGACGTCTCTCCAACTGAGTGGAAGCATACCAACATTCGATAAAACTGAAGGAAAAGCTTTTCTTTTTTTATTTTATCTTTTTTCAGTTTCGTTAAGGTAGAGCTTTCTAATGTTTTTTTGCCAATTTGTTGTAAAACCTAAATCACACGTGTTTTTGATACGGATCTATTACATTCGCCGCTGTAATATTGGCCTCCTCCTAACTTTAATTCAAAATTTTAAGTAGCTGTTAAGTTTTTTTCTATTATAGTTTTCTGTAATCAGTGTATTTTTGAGTTGGGGTTGGTAGTGGCAGTAACACATCACAACCAAGACGTTACTGGATTATTACTATGGTTAAAACTTCTTTTCTTTTTTATTAGACATTTATAAAGACTAAGGCCACTTCTAGAATACTGACCATCAAGCTAAGCAATTTCTTATCAAGACAAAAATACCTCATTATGTACCGGTAATATTTCTCAATTAATTGTAATCTTAGTTACCTTGAGTAAACTAAAAAATGCACTTTTAAAAAGTCTCTTATTTTTCTTGACACAGAACCACAAATTTTTTAAAAAATTTTTTATGATGTAAGCTAAAAAATGGTCTCTTCAAAGAGACAAAAACTATTAGGATTCGTAAAATACATCAATTTACGTTAACCGAAAAAAAAAGCGAAAAAGATATTACTTACAAGTCTGCTGCCGACATCCCAATCGTCTTTCAAAATATAACCAAAAGCTCCGTCATAAAGGTTTCGACGAAATGTAATTTCGTTGGAAAATGGGAGACGTTTATCTAGCTGGAAAAGCTGAGTTAATTCCTGTTCAAACAACGATTGTTTCGGAAAGAACCTCAGTGTCAAATGTTGTAAGAATTTTTTAGCCGTTCAGAAGTAAAATACTGTGCAGGAGGAATTAGAGGCAAAAGAATAAATTAATTTAAGCAAAGCTGATAAGACTAAAAACAAAAATTAAAAAATACCGTTTTTAGAGCGCGAGAACAATTTTCAGACACGTTTTCCTTCAGTTTTTGAATCGGTATATTATAAGGTTCTGTAAGAGTACAATCGACCAGCGTGGCATAGAAAAAAAATGAGAATAAGCCACAAAAATTGAGTAGATTCATTTCAAATTGTTTTGTTCGTCGACAAGACCCAAACTTCTGAATTATCATTTTAGAACTTTAAATTGTTCCAGTTCAAAATATACCGCTTTCAGTGAATTATACATTCCACATTACTTTATGTAAGAAAGTAGTTTGAAAAAATGATGCATTGGGATGTTAAATTTAGTTATAAGAAGTTACTGCTTGTCAAAACGTTAGAACTGCATGAAATAATAAGAGAGCAGTGTCCTGAAAGTAATGGGTTTTTCAGAAAATCACTAAATTACAAAATAAATTATCTGAAAACCAGTGACAAATTTGTATTACTTTTAAAGAAGCATTTTATAGTGCTACAAAAGTTTCTTTGAAATCTTTAATAGAACAACTTTAACTCTTGAAAAAGCTCTTCAATCATCTGACATTCGTAAACTTTGAATGTTGCGCTGTTACAGAAAAAGAATATGAGAGAAACTAAGGCTGATTTCTATCAGATTGATCAACAAAAAACAATGAATTTACAAGTCTTTGCACGTCACTGGTCACTTGTAATATTAAAAATGATAACTTTTAGACACTAAAATGAAGATAAGAAAAAGAAGGTTGTCAGTACTTAAATTTTTATAAAAGAAATTGTATCACGATTAAAATGAGCTCTTCAAAGAATGAACAATCGAATGACCTATTATTATTATTT